TAAGGATGTAAAGTTACATTTGATTGCCAAAACATGAGTTCACTTTCATACTTCCCTTGAAAATAAGGGTAAATATGCCAGAAAAGAGTAAAAATGATTGGTCTATAGATCCCTTTAATTTGATTATAGATCATTCATGACCCATTCACTATTATTCACCACCTCTGGACTAGGTCATTAGTTCACCCCAGCGAGACTGTCCACACATCCTAAGAACCCAGCAAGGCAATAGTTAAAATAGGGGAAAACTACAAATTACAGATATAAAGTGGTTGAAACAATCAAGGATAATTGAGTCTTGTCATAAGTATAATATATCACATTCCATTACATCAATCAATACACACATACACATATACACAAAGAATTTCTTCAGGTTTATACCCATTTCCTCACTTACTAGTAAATTGATTAGGTTGGCAATAGAGCATTTTATTGTAATACCTTAGTCAATTCATTTAATCATTCTAAGTACACTCATTTTAAAAATAGAGATAGCTATCTTGACCTCACAGGATTTTTGTTAGTTGAATTACATGAAAACATGCAAACTGTAATCAATAAATATCGTCTGATTATACAATATTACATGAGATTATTTTTATATCTTGTAACAAGAAAGTCAATGCTAAAAAATTATTATTTCCTATTTTTACATCTGTTTTAAATGAGTAATGCAAAGTATATGCATACACAGATTGAAACAGGTTGGTGAGGCTCGGAGATAAGCAAGAATGTCTGGAAAAAGGCCATTTGACCATCATATCTGCCAGATGTAGAATGCTATAGAGTTAGTGAGATGAATACAAGAAAAAAATGATGTATTTTGAAGCTGTATTGCATAAATTTGATAGTAATTTTTTAGATAAGTGTTAAGAGACTTAGAGATCGTATGAATTTGGATTTAAGCATAATTAATGTGTCCATTGATGATCTTTCCTATGGTAACTGCCTGACCAGCAAAGGCCATGACTCAGCTTTGACCCAAAGTTATATGATTTGAGACCTCTATTACCAGTTTTTCTTTCTCTCTTGAGCTTCATACCTAAATTTCTAGCTGCCTGAAACCAACTAAGCTCCATGTTCCATGACGTCCTAAACTCAACAAGTCCTACACTGAACCTCCAAATGTACTCTCCTTTAGGTTTTCCCCATTGAAATTGATGGAATCACCATCTACCCAAACCAGAAACTACATCATCTTCAACCTCTTTCTCTCCTCCACCTACTAGATCATGTAAGTTACCTGCTTCCATTAATTCTGTCTTGAATATCTCAAAATTTCTTTATTTTCTCTCCATTCTTACTGACCTTAACTTAAGCCTTTATGCCTATTATTTGAGCCATTATAATTACGATAGGAATATATAAGATAAAATTCCATAAACTCCAGATAAAATAAATTACCCTGTTTCTACGAATGTTACTTGTACCTTCATGTGCCTCCACTCCTCTTCATTTGATCTAAACTTCTAGTTTAATCAACTTAGTACTCATTTAAAAATCTTTGCATTTTTATCTGCCTCCTCTGTTAAACAATGTCTTCCACAAAGATATGAATCTTGTCTCATTTATGTTTGTATCCTGAACAATAACACCTATACTTTGTAGATGTCAGAAAATACTTGTTAAATAAAGAGATGTCAGGTGCCATACAAGAAAAGACTCTGAGTAAGAATAAATTTGGATTTTTTAACGTATTTCTTAAATAAGTCATTCCATTGGATTGTACATAATTTGAAAATTTTGACTATATGTAACCCAGCTCTATAGGATTCCTTTTTCTCTGCTATAATAGACTTGTTAAATTGAGTTAAATTACTTCAGGTATTCAATTTAGTTATGCAATTTCCCCATATTTTTCCACTTTTTCCCAACTTATTTATAAGGGGAATGGAAAAACTAGTTTATATCATCCTTTTAAAATCTTATGTTATGCCAAAATACTCACATGAAAGGAATTATATGTCCACAGAATCATCTTTCTTCTTATTTACTCATTTACATTAATATAACTGAGTGCTAATCAAGGCCCATCTTGGAAAATATCCTAAACACAAATAATATTGTGACATAAAACCAACAACAAAGGAGAAATTAAGACTCAAAGAACTGGATCAGAGTATTCATCATCTGACATCACAGATGGAGATCATTTGTTTTCATAGAGAATCAGGACTTGGGGTGGCCTTTGAATAAGAAATAGTTTGGCAAATGAAAAATGCCAGACTGTTGCCAGGAAGTTAAAAAAAAAAAAAAAAAGCTTTGGAAGAGTAGATTAAGAGAAAAACCTTAAAGGAAATACACTTGACAGATCCACAAAATAGTTTGATTGACTGAAAACCAACCAACTAAACAACCATTCATTATATTCACATCCACACATGGGAGCTCGAGTGCACACACACATACCTGCTATCTTACTCCCATGTAACAAGAGCTTTATAAATATTGAGTTTTCCTTTTAGCCTTGACTAATAAGAAGGCTTTTGTAAAATTAATATTCCATTCTACTAACCACATTCATGGTATTTGGGAGTCAATTATTCTATCACTCTATTTGACATTTTGCTTCTTATCTTCCTTTTAAAATTATTTTATTGTATTTATATATATATATATCAGAATAAAACAAAGTACCATCAGAAATTAGAGTAATGCAATGCCATTTCTCTGCAGTGAATAGAACTTATTCTTTAATCCCTTACCCTGAATGTATTCCAGCAAAGAACACTACAGTAGTAAGCACTTAATGCATCAGATATGAGGAATAAGAGACTTGGCTCAGAAAGTGATGGATGTAGAAACCAAAGATGTTGGTATTTATTTTAACTTACAATAAAATACAATTACTATTAATGCAAAATACATATTATTTTAATGACCAGAACTAGACTTTCTTTAAAGGTGGGAGATTACTTTGGAAGAGTACATTATTAAGCATTTGGGGTTGGATTAGCAGGTGTTAGAAAAAAAGAAACAGACAAAATAATCTGAACTGTTAATAAGAAGAAAAGAAGAAGGAGGAGGAGAAGAAGAAGAAGGGGGAAAAAAGAAAAAGGAGAAGGAGAAAGAAAAAGAAAGGAGAAGAAGGGAAAGAGGAAGAGAAAAGGCAAGTATTTGGGGAGGAGGAAGACAGGATCCAGAGGAGAGGAGAAAGGATTGTGAAGCAATGTATCAGAGTATTATAATTAATAAGAATTTTAAAGACAGGGACACCTGATATTCCCTGTGAAGTTTGGACTCATTATGATATAAATTCCCACTCCATCTCCCTGAAACCCTCAGCAAGTCTACTCTCCCATTAATGCCTTTGTGTAATGGTTTTTGTTGTTCTCATTGGTTTTCATTTTGTTCTGTTTTGTTGCTTTTGGGTGGTAGAGTCAGGTTAGGGGCTGATGCTGATGATGAAGCTTGGGCTTGCAGCATCGTGAAACTGGACTATTACATGATCCATACAATGAACTAACTCAGTGCCTGCAATTAGCTGGAGGTTCACCTGGAGACCATAAGCCCCTGAGGACGTTCGCATCAATCTTGTAAAGACCATTGATCTTTCTGAGAGCAGAAGGGATTTAAGCCAACTCCATCTATATATGAGGGAGAATGAAGACTCCATCTAGCCTATAATCACATATGTTTTTGCCTCAAATCCTTTTTAAAATAGGGGGCTTATCAATCAAAAATATTTTTATACATATGCATACTTGCATGAATAGGTGTGTTGGAAACAACACAGGCAATGCAATGCATGCCATCCCTTCACAGAAGGACTTTAGATGTATGTTGCTAATTTTTGAATTTATACCAAATAGAGAGTTGTGATGTTTGGAAGTGAATGACAGCATATAAAAGTAAATGTAAAAGACAGAGAAGGCAAGAATTTCTTCGTCTATCCCATTTAACTTTACAGTGCTCCAATGAAGTTAGGGGCTTATGGTCTCCAGGTTTACCTCTGGCCTATAAGCACACTCCTATGTGTATATGGATTTTACTGAAAATATAAAAGTCTGATCTTTCTCTGCATTTATAGCTCTAATTGTTTTACTTCCTGCCTACATTTATAGCTCTAATTGTTTTACTTCCTGCCTACTTAGTGTGCTAGCACTGCCTGAATTTCCCTAGGGGGGATGAAAGAAGAGTAGAAAGACTCTCCCTGCCACTATCCCTCCCTGATAAAATCTATTTGGGGAGGTGAGATGGAAAGACAGAAAAATACTCTTAATTAACTCCTGATTGCTTTACCGTGTATGGAGCATTTATATACACATTATCCCATTTAACCTTACAGTGCTCCAATGAAGTTAGGAGGAAGGGCAGTGATCATCATTATGTCCATTTTAGAGAAGAGACTACCAAGGTCCAGAAAGAAAAATGACAAACATGACCAAAGAGCCATATCTGACTTTACTTCATAGTATCCCACACGCCTTCTCTGAATAAAATAATTAGAATTTAATGACATACGTAAAATTATATGTATCCTTTCGGCAATAAACAGAGTCAGACACAAGTATTGTGATTTTTAAATAATATTACACTCTAATTTTTGGTAAGAAATTAGCAAGGAGGAATCAATATGGTTAATATAAGCATTATATATTTTTTATTTTTTAAAAGATTTTATTTATTTATTTGACAGAGAGAGAGATCGCAAGTAGGCAGAGAAGCAAGCAGAGAAGAGAGGGGGAAGCAGGCTCCCTGCTGAACAGCGAGCCCAATGAGGGGCTTGATCCCAGGACCCTGAGATCATGACCTGAGCCGAAGACAGAGGCTTAACCCACTGAACCATCTAGACACCCTGACACTTTATATTTTTAATAAATAAAATAGCTCCACTGTTTATTAAAAAGTACTGCAAACCTTGTAAAGTTTGTATCTGTATAAACCCAGGTTGTATCTTACCTTTTTTTTTGTTTGTTTTTTGGAACAGTACATGTTTTAGAAGCACATAGCTTCACCATCAAAGGTGATCTAAGAGTGATGCCCAAACTGCCTACCTCACAAATTTCGAGGAACTTCTCATTGGAATATTTCATAGGGTGCTCAGTGAAGGTCGCATAAGGCACCTCAGTGGACCATGGGTTCCAGCGGGAAAAGAAGGACTGCTGTTCCAGACTCCCCCAGTAGATCCTAAGGCCTTCTCCTTGTCTCCTACAAGAAAGGAATTTCCTTTAGATTAGCCATTGCCATTAGATTAACACAAAAAGAAAAGGATGGGAAAGTAAGGTAGTGTCTCAGTTAACCTTTATAATGATGCTAAATGACTTGCCTACTAACTAATTGATTATTCCAGGAATTTAGGAGGTAAGAATGAAAAGATAAATTCGGTTCCAAACATGATGAGTTCTGGGTGTTGTTGAGAATCCTATATGGAAATGCCTTGCTGGAAATGTGACTTGGTGTTGAGGACCAAAGCCAGGGAAGGAAATAGGGATATTAATCTCATGCCAATATTCCGATGATAATGGTTAAATGGGAAAGGGACAGGAAGATTCAAGGTGGTCGGACAGGAATTGAAGTGCTGAGGTGGCAGGAAGTTTCAGGAAGGAGGGGAATGACAGCAGTTCCAGTTTCCACAAAAAAAGAAAAAAAAATGCAAGCAGGAAATGACTGAGAAGAGACATGGGACATCAAGAACAGTAGCGTATATATGATCCTTAAGAGGGATGATGACCTTTCAAAATATCTGTGACTTCAGCTTTGGTTCTCTGTTCTCTGCACACATTCCATGCAGCAAAGTTGCAGAAACAAACATATCAAAGCTCATAAAGGAATTGTGCCTGCCTTTTCACACACTACCTGGTATAACCCAGGCCTGGTCATCTGGTAAACCCAAGTGCAAAAACAAGAGGAAGCTTGGGAGTGATGGGAGGGAAGTTGTGGCAGGAGAGTGTGGCCACGTTGAATAACAAAACTGTAATTCCTGTGGTCTCTTCTTTTACATGTGCCCATCAGAATTTATGGTTTGTGGTTTTAGACATTTCTAAATGCAAAGAGATTCCTGGAGGTTAAGCTAAGCTCAGGTGCTTTGCATTCAACAAGCTTTAAAACTAAGTTGCCTGTAATTCTAAACAGCCCCATGGAACATCATAGAGCTCTCATTTCTTCTAGAAATTAAATCCTGGGATCTAGAATAAAAACCCAGAGCTTAATTGTGGTACCTTCACAAAGCTGTCACTTCCTGTATTAAGGAAGAATACCTTTGGGAATGCTATTGTGGCTTCTGGGTGTTTATCCAAGTAGAGATGTGTATAAACACAATCTCACACATAGACATATGCCACCCCTCTTTCCCATTGGCTGATCTCTGAGATTCTATTTTCAAAAGGAAATAAGAAAAGAGTCTGGTTCATTCTACTGCCCAGTTCTCAGATTTTTGATCATTATGTTTGAAAGCTGACACGGAACCATTTTTCTTTTTTTATTTAATCCTTCCCCCACAAAGAAAAAAAAGAAAAGAAAAGAGGAAAAGAAACATATTGTACATACCTCTAAAGTTCCTTTTCTAACCTCTCACCTTCCCAGCTGCTATGCTCACATTTATCATCCCTCACGCCCATACGTTCCTTCATTCTGTTTCTTTTCTTTCTTTCTCTCTCTCTCTCTCTCTCTTTTTCCCCCTGGCCGGGTAATAAACTCTAAGCTCAGTGAATATTCTATGCATGCTGGTTAATGGAGCACTCTGGCTTTAGTCCATTCAAACAACTTGTACAATGGAATTATTATGGAATTATCTACTGCTTCATATGTCAATTTATGTGCTCGGTGCAATTTTGCTTTTATCCAAAGGCAATGAAATATGCCAAGATAGCTTCTCTAATAAGTACACTTTATATTCTTTTACCTTAGGGAAACCTCAAATGAAGTTTAAGCATGAAATTCAAGAGGGACCCTATTTCTAAATAACCAATCAATTTGAGCATGACAATGACATTTCTCAGAAATGTAGCATACTTCTAAATACACAAGTTTATACTCAGCCATCAGAAAGGATGAATACTTACTATTTACATCGACCTGGATGGAACTGGAGGTATTAGGCTGAGTGAAATAAGTCAACCAGAGAAAGACAATTATCATATGGTTTCACTCATACATGGAATATAAAAAATAGAAAAGAGGATCATAGGGGAAGGGAGGGAAAACTCAATAGGAAGTCATCGGAGAGTGAGAAAAACCATGAGACACGACTATAGGAAACAGAGTTGCTAAAGGGGTGGCGGGTGAGGGGATGGGGTAATTGGGTGATGGACATTAAGGAGGGCATGTGATGTGGTGAACACTGGGTGTTATAAGCAACTGATGAATTATTGAACACTACATCTGAAACTAGTGATACACTATATGTTGGCTAATTGAATTTAAATTTAAAAAGAAAATAAATAAATAAATAAGTATACAAATTCAGCCAACCTTCTCTCTTAAGCTCCACTGGTGATATCTAAGAAGATAAATCTGCAACTAAGAAGTCTCTCCAAAGGTAGAATTAAGGCAGTGCTTCTCAGCAAAGACTTTAGTACGAGAGACCTGTGGAAATCTGTCATCTTCTGTTCTGTCAAATGTCATTAGAATAATTATGGAGAATATAGATGCTTTTATGACCAGGAGCATTCTATTAGTTACTTAGGCTCACCATGAAAGATAGCATATGATGTAACAGAATATAGTGAAAAATGCAAAGAATAGGATGTCATGTATAATTTTATTAGAGTCTTTGTTCTGACGCTTAATGCTGTGTGACTGCAAACGAGCTAGTTTCATTTTCTAAATCTCAGTTTTACCTTATGCTCTTTGGCATGTTTCCATGTGACACCTCATGACCTCAGTAACTATGTAAATGGTGTAGACAGCTACGGTCATGATGCTACTGACATTCATCCAGTCAAGGACATACAAGATCTGAAAGAAACCTCTGGGTTATGGCTTCAGTTTAGAGGCATCAAATTAGCCCCCTGAACACATCTTCTGGTGCAAAGACTATACCAAGCATTGTCCCATGATTCCTAGGGAACTTCAGCACCTACCATGATACCTCACAAACATGTAAAAGCACAAATCCGTACCGGTGATGGAATAGCATTTTAGTGTTTATAAACTAGAGAACTTCGTAGCTAGAAGGGCTCTTGGAAGGTAAAACCCAGTGCCTTCTTTCAGGATATGAGAAAACTGATACAGAAGGATCAAGAGCTTCCTTGAAGCATCATTACACACACGGCTGAGCTGTTGAGAGCCCTGGTCTCCCAAGACTTCATTTAGGGGTCTTTTCACCATTCTGGGCTATCATCACAAAATGCATTCCAAGTTAAGGTCCTGCTATTGCACAACACAGCCTTATTTCCAACTGACATATAGTTAAAAGACTCGCCCTGAGGAGACCGTCATCATCTGTAAGCAAAAGGCCTGCCCAGAGATCATAGCTAAAGGTGAAAAAGGAAATCGCAATCACAAAAGGAGCTCTGTGTGTGTGTGTGTGTGTGTGTGTGTGTATGTGTATATATATGTATATACACACACTCATATATATAAATATGTATATATAATATATATAAATAAATATTTATTGTATATTAAATATATAATAATAAATTATATATATATACACACATACGTAAACGTGTGTGTGTGTGTGTGTGTGTGTATACTATTTATGAGATTACAGGAAAATAAAGTAGCCATGGGAGTGAAGAGAGAAATTAAGAAATTACAAAAAAGTTATGTCTTCAGGGTAAGAAGACTGATCTTTCTCACCGAGCTGCTATAGTCAAGTTTATCAAAGTGGGGGTACAGTTCTGGATAAAGAATGTCAACACCAAATTATTATTATTATTATTATTATTATTATTTTTAAAGAGAGAATTTTTTTTTGAGATTTTATTTATTTATTTGACAGACAGAGATCACATGTAGGCAGAGAGGCAGGCAGAGAGAGAGGAGGAAACAGGCTGCCTGGGAGCAGAGAGCCCGATGCTGGGCTCAATCCCAGGACCCTGGGATCATGACCTGAGCTGAAGGCAGAGGCTTTAACCAACTGAGCCACCCAGGTGCCCCCCAAATTATTAAGTAAAGAAAAATTTGCCAGCTTTCTGCTCCAAATCATACTTTGAGTGTAAACCCTGGCTTTGAGCATTATATACCATCTTTCCAATCTTTAGGTAACAACAACTTCATGAGGAACAAGAGGATAACAGGTGAGAAAGTGTTTTGTATGCTGTAAGGCATTGTCCCACTAGCAAATCTTGAGTTCTTAGTGTGTACCATAACGCTTACTGTGTACTATTAGAAACTTTATATTTTTAAATTTTATTTAACTGTTACAGAATTTTTCTAAACATCTTTGGTATAAATAAATGAATTTAACAAGAAATATGATAAAGAATATGACCAGGCTTAATCAGATCAGCAAGTCAAGAACCAGTAAAGGAACAGACTAAGAAGGGGGAGGAGAAATACCAGGATCCCTACATAGACAAAAGCAGAAAAACAAATCTCTAGAACAGAGAAAAACAGAAGGTTCTGGAATAGTCTACATTTTTCTTCACCTATTGATCTCTTCCTCCACCTGACTCTGAGTCTCTGAATACTTATGAGTTTAGCTTCTGTTTTATCAGTGTTTTGATGTGTATAACTTCCTACTTACATTAAACCTATCAGAAACTTCCATTCAGCTGAAAACATCCCTATAGCTCTTTTTTCTTCAGACTGAATCAGCATGGTTCCGTAAAACTTTTCTAATAATTTAAAAATAATCTTTTAAATCGCCTCAGAGGTGAATCCCTGAAACAGTCCCAAGAAGTTTAACTTCACTCCCACAATGTAATTAGCATATTCTCTGTACAGTACAGTGTATTGTTGCAGGTAGAGAAATGAATAAGACTCAGCCTCTGAACTCCAGAAGCCCATCACCCGTTTTACTATCATCTCTTTCCCATACCTCAAATAGGTACAAATAGAAACCCACAGATCTCTTTATAGAAGCAGAAGTTCACCCATTACAATTTACTTTATTCCCGTTTTCTATCATCAGGGAAACCATCTGGATGTGGCCTCCATTCCCACAGTAGTAGAAGAAAGTCAATGTACCCTTCACTTCTGATAAATTTCAAAAACCTTCTAGAAAGATATAAAAGTAGAGGAAAGTCTCCATAAGGATT